CCGATTTCTTCAATCAGCCGTAGCGGTGACGTATCACCTCATTCCCAAGGTGATGATATCTCTTTATCTTCTGCCATATTCGACTCCAGCCAGCTGGCTTTCATTTCTCGTCTCCGCGCAGATAAGCGTTCCCACAAGTCCATAAATACTCTTTCTCCTAACGATTTGATCAATATGTTCTCTAAGTATAAAAAATTGCCGGCTGCCTATAGCACTGTTCCTACTGAAGAGGATCGTTTGGTCAAGCCAAAAGAGGACAACAAAAAGCGCAAGGAATCCGAATCAAATACCGCTGATAAGTGAGTCTTCTTTTTTTAATTATTTTTTGACTGTTGGGCTCCTATTTCACTCATTGATTTGGCTTGGGCTTTCGACACCATCCAACAACTTGCTGATTGCTCTTCTCTCTACAGATCACGCTACTATCAACCCCAGTCTAAGTCTCAGACCACTTCCAGAGTCTCACGAGCCGATAATCATATTCGTTCGCGATCGTTTTCATCAGGTTCTGGATCTAATTCAACTCCGTCCTCATCCTCTTCTGCCTCTTCACGCAGGTCCGTCGCCAGCTCATCTGATCACAGCGGCACAAGTAGCCCTTCTAGACATCATCTGTCTGTCGGTTCAATGCAAGGCAAAGACAAGGGAAAAGGTAAGGACAGGGTTCGGGATAAGGAAAAAGGAAACCGTGACAGGGCGCAGACGCAGCTGCTCAGGGTAGAAGCCTCTAAGATGGTTTCGAGACATCGACCTTCTTCGCACTCTTCATCTAGTCGCGCTTCGAGTCAGCTGAGTCAGGCCTCAGAGCCTTCATATTCATCTGCCTCTGGTTCGCGCTCCTCTTCGAGGTCACCCGCTCGAAATTCAGCACAGCGTTCACGAGATTCTCGGCGTACTCACCATCGGCATCGGCATCATCGGCATCAGCACCACCGCCGACATCATCATCAGGATAGTCGGTCAAGACTGGAGAGTTCTTCATTAGATAAGGCCTCGAGTCGTAGAAAAAATCCATCATCTAGTGCATCAACAATGCCAGGGAGCACTTCCAGGATTGATTATGCCAAACCAAAGAATGAATCTTCAGACCATCCTTCCTCCATCAGCCGTTTGTCCTCTGCCATAAACACCACAACTGGCTCTAGCTCCGCAGATAAGTCTTCAAATGGTAGTCAAAGTGCTTATATCTCTTCAAAGTCATCTTCAAGTAAGACCCATGGGGACCAACGCCAGCGAAGCCAGACTTCTAAGCATGAAGGCCGGACCAGGGGGAGTGTCAATTGTAATAACACTGGCAAGACTTCATCGGGCTCTCGAAAGTCCCCCTCTAGAGAACACCGACGACATTGATGCTCTGCTACCTTATCTACGCCCATTGATGCCTTTCTTTCTTCTATAGACGCTGCATTTTTGTCCTTTAATTTGTTTAAGGACTAAATGTACCGATATTCTAGCGATTCCTATCCACTTTGTTCTCAACTGGATTGCCCTCCGAGCCTTATTTGCTGTACTTGGCTTCCTACACCTCTCCTGTTTCTTGCAATCAGTTTGCGGAGAATAGTGTCATGTTG